GCATGAAAATACTGCTCATGGTAAAATAAGCAATACCAAGACAATCACAGAGGTTTAAAACTAAGATTCAGCTGGCTGTTTCTTCTCTAGAAAGCTGTTCCAGCCTTAGAAATATGCAACCTAAGCCCAAAAAGGTTTTAAAGAGTGTTCAGGCGATGCTTACATTTAAATAATTAGCAAATTGAAATCTCACATGTATTCGCCCTGGTTTGGGGCTAAAGCGGGAGGGTGCCCTCAGGCCCAGTGCAGGATCAGCACTCTCAGCAGGATGGGCAGCAGTCAGGACACAAAGGGCCAGATTGAATAAACCCTTTCTGCTTCAGTTCAGACATGCTGGGAAACTTGTGCGTGCTGTTTATCAGACAGGTGCACTGGCCTGGAAGTGCAGTTGTCATCTTAGGTACATCGTTTGTGAAAGTGAAGTGTGCCTTACTCCATGAGGAAGGCTTACAGGAATTACATTTTTGTGTATGTAAGTGTTTGTGTTTGAGTCTGGGCAGGTTCAGGATCAAGAAGGAACTGTGGAAATGATATTGGAGAAACACAGCTCCTTTGAACTAAAAGGAACACAGGTGTACTAACAGATTAATTTAATATAGAGTTGGAAGCGTTTGAATTGGATTTTGGCACCTATTAAGCTGTTGTTCACCATGTTAATTATTATTTGCAGCAGTTATCATGGGAGGACAGGGCGACATAAGACGCATCTTTGCCACACATTTTTGTCATTGCACCTTATCTGTAATTCCCTCCACAAGACTGTGCTACTGTTATTTAAATATGTCACTGTAGGCTTGAGCCTTCATCTTGTTGTCAGTCTTCTCCCTCTGATGCATCCTCCCTTTAGACACACTTTGGGCTAAGAGCATGGTTACTGGTTGTTTTTAATGATGGGCAGCAGTAATTTAGCCTCTGGCAGGAATCGTTCAGTCAGGGGAAAAAACAAAACACATAGATAGCTAAGAGTGTGTGTTGTAGTGCAAGGACGAGTGAAAGAGCTTAGACAAAATTAGAAGGAAAGAAACGGAACTTTTCACACTGACAGGATGTAGCAAAGCATTTATCCTTTTATATTGTGAAAAGCTGCTTGACAACCTGTCATCTTCTACAAGACACCTATAATAACCCTGACAGCCGGGTCCAGGAGGTTATACCGTCTTAGACACTGTTTGTTTATTATTGTTGTTTTGGGGCAGAGCACAGAAAGTATGCCAAAAGATACAGCAGATTGAATTAATCATTTGTAAAGCCCAAGCTAAACCTGTTTCTTATTTGATTCCATGTTGAACAAACAAGGCACATTGTTTAACTTACTTGCATTATTGTAATTTATGCTGTTAAATGATTAGATGGATTTTCCAGAACCAATTTAAGACTTTTTGAAACTGAAAATGACTCAACAGAAGTTATGCTTTAAAACATTTCATCACAGTTGTTTGTTACAAAGAATAACTACCATGACTAAACTGAAAATTAACAGTTAATTTAAGATGTTCATGTGTAGCGGTTGTGTACTCTCTCTTGCGTTGTGTGATGAATCAGGCAGACACTTTTACTTTTGGCACCAGCACGCCGGTTAATCTGATAACAACAGAAGCACATACGGTCTCTCACAGCCACTCTTCTAGTAATAAGCTCCAACATTGCTAAAATATAAGAACAAATAATTGAGCAACCTGTTAAGCAAGCTACACCACAGAGATCAGAAGTTACATTTTAGCTAGCAAAACACACACGTGATGAGCCTAAATGACTCAAAAACATAGTAATATGATCACAGAAAAGTTTTACAATAATTTCGGAGCTTCTCTCAAACATGTGAAATGGAAAAATATTACTTTTATCAAGAAAAACGATGCCGCACTATGATAAACCAAACATTATTCCAGCAGTCTTACAGTCTACTGACATGGACTTTTCTGCAGCCTTATTTTCAGTTACTATCTATAAATTCATTAACCCAGTATTTACAATTCTCCCTGAGAGTCACCAGTTCTCATGATCATTGCTTTAAAAACCAAAACATTTTTGAGCAGCAGGTTAAAGATACAGCAGTTCGTATGAAAGGCATATGCTATTTTTTCTAGCCTCAAATCCAAATGCTAACACAGACTTTTCTACTGTTTTGTCTGTGGCCCTTCATATCTCTTACTAGTTCATCACACAGTACTAAGTATCCATTATCATCATAACACTGATTGTGGCGTATTGTCCCTCTTAGTCATAGAATAGCATAAATGACACTTATTGAAAGCTTTTCAGCCTGCATATTTCAAAAGCACACACACCCCTTATAATCATTGGCAGTTCTGTTAAGAGGATCAGATGATGACACGTTGTTGGATGAGACTGATCAAATCAGTTACAAGACAATACCATGGATAAATTAACTCAAGTAAAAAGAACAAATGAACATGTCTCCCTCATGTTTTCACATTAGCTGTGAATAGAAAAAAGGTTGATTGTTCCATGATTTCTCATTCATATACGCTTACATTATCAACATTATTTATGTATGAGCACATGATTTATTTCTCTAATGTTTCAAATACCCCAAACAAGAGATGGATGGCGCAATTCGTTCAATGCAGTATTGACATGTTTGTTGCTTCTGTGATTAGTGGAAGTGATGCCTGTTCAATTTTAAGTGTTTCTTTGTCTGTGCCATGATTATCAGAAACCCTACGTTGTGAACCATATTTAACAATACCTGTTAACACAATTGATTGTGAAGAGATTAGGTCACAGCTCACTGAATATTCTTGTGCTTGTTATGCATGTTTTCAAACACAGGGGGAATCGAGATTGATCTTTTTCCTATCAGAAGAATGTCTTTTAAATCCGATGTCATTTTGTACCTCAGAAGCCATATGTAGGTTTTGAGCTCCGTTTTTTTTTTGCAGTAGAGGGAATTCCACATAGGCCTAACATTTTGAAAACAATATCTTTGTTCATTAATGTCAGATACTTCATACTCCTGTGATCTCTGACAAAGTAAACAATATAATACGTTTTGTAGCTGCAGCTGGTGATTAAAGAAGGGGATAAATCTAATTTGCCTGCAAGTAGTTAATGCAGTGCTTAAAATGAGACCACAGGTACCTGTGAAGTGAGATGGGCGGTATGTTTCTGGGCTCCCTTGGCTCAGGCTTGTTAAATTGGAAGATCGATGATGCTGTAAATCAATGTTCCACCAACAACGCAAACCCCATGGAACCCATTAGTGGATTAAGATAGACCACTGGTCCACGCTGAGTCTTGTTCTGCCTGGAGGTCCTTTCCACATGACAAATGGGAGAAAAAACTGAAATAACACAAAGGGAAAAGGGCAAATGAGAGGGTGTGAACAAGAGCCGTGACAATAAACAGGTTGACAGAAGAGGCAGGGGTCAATACTGTCTGCAGGGACACACCTGTAGCTTCTTGTTCAGAGACTCAGGGAAAGGATTTTTCTTACTGGATTTCAACCAGGGGTCGTATATAACCAGCAAATACTTAGTATAATTCCCTTCTAAGCAAAAGAGAACACCCAACCAGCCATAAGTAACATGCTCTACATGCAAAGTCATCTGTCCCAGCCAGTAAGCTGAAAGAGAACAGAGCCAGAATGGATGAAGGACAACAGATGAAACGAAGTGGGTGTTGGGAGAAGATGTCAGGGGAGCCGCTTTTCCTCTGATAGCTTTGTTTATGTGCCACTGTCTGAGGATCATTGATCCATTCGTCTTCATTACGTCTCCCTGTGAGAACTATTAACTGCTGCCACCCTCAGTTGGGTGCCTGCTATGTTGACATGCAGTGCACGGTGTCCCTGCAGCCAAGAAATGTCCCTGCCACCTCCCCTCTTTCAGGTAGAGGCTAACAGTTTTAAACTTCCTTTGGAAAAAGGGAACAGGAACACTTTAAAGTGGCGACATGTAAAAAAAAAAAAAAAAAAAAAAGGATTTAGGTATTACGGTAATCATATTCACGGGCATCATGGAGGTACTAGGGGGCTGATACTGGTATCAGTATAAGCCTCTGATACAGCCTAGTATTGGGAATCCTGTTGAACACCAGTCAGTGCATCAATTTGATTACATTCCATAAATTAATTGGTTTTGGTGTCAGCAATCAGTTTTTCACCAATTATATGGATATTTTTTGTTGCAGTGGTATCATATGGTTAATGGTATCTTCCAGTACTACATTCTATTAATCTAAAAGGAAAAATGGTATCACAACATCTCTGGTAAAACAAACTTATGTGAAAAACATGTAGTATATCATAGTTCCATATAATTTAGTTCATTCTGCATTCTTTGTTTTAACTGATGTAACATAATAATCAATCAAAAATCCACTAAAAAGGGGCGCTGGTGGCCCCATGTATGGAGGCTGTCATCTCAAGCGGGCGGCCCAGGTTCACATCCCACCTGTGGCCTCCTTCCCGCATGTCATTCCCCACTCTCTCTCCCTGATTTTCGACTCTATCCACTGTCCTATCTCTCCATTTAAGGCACAAAAGCCCCCCCACAAAAAAAAATTCCACTAAGCTCATGGGAAGCCTAGTTAAATCTTTATAGAGAATTCACTGTAGTGCATGATCTGTAAGCACAGTCAGGAAATAAATCCCCAGTGGTTGACTGCTCGGGTTCCTGCTGAGTCCCTGCTAAGCGCACTCATACCTGCAAATTCCCCCCATGAGACACCCTGCTCCGTTTCTCTCTGAGCTGTCGCCATTGTCTATGATAAGTTTGTTGTTATGAAACTGCTTAAGCTCAGTGAGGCATCATGGGTCATCAGCACAAGCTTGAACTGCAACCTAATGTCTCCAATTGACTGTCAAGATCACTTTTAAATCACTGTCAACTCAGCATCCCTTTGCTTGTGAAATATGACATGTTTAACTGTACTTATTGAACATCATTTTCTTGTTGTTGAAAAAGCTGACTGATAAATGTTCGATCTTTCTCTGTCTATCTTCTTCTTTCTATGTCTTGTTTTTATTTTGATCTCAGAATCACCAAAGATCTGGCCCTATGACTGTCTCGTTCGAGCCAGAGGAAAGACAAAGGCAGAGCATGGTCTGGTGTGGCCCCCACTGTTGCTATGTGTGAAGGAGTGCCGTGGCGTCAATGGAGACCGAAGGCTATCGTGAACTCCTGGAGACCAGTGATGGTCAGGGGGTAGGCCTGCTGGATGGAGGGGGCGAGGTGGGGGCAGAGGAGGGCTGGAGCACCCCCTACCCTCTGGGCTTCCAGGTATCTTTGACCACTGTGCTGATACTGGAGCTGGTGTTGGGTTTCAGCAGCAATCTGACCGTGCTTGTGCTTTACTGCGCCCAGTCCAATCTGGTGGATTCAGTCAGCAATCTTGTGACAGTCAACCTCCATGTCCTGGATATACTGGTATGTTTGCTATGTCTGCCACTGACTGTCGCTGTGATCTTGCTACCAGCCAATGGAAGTGGAGTCAGCAGCCTTGCAACGCTGTGCTGCTTTCATGAGGCCTGTGTCACATTCACTAGCGTGGCTACAGCAGTCAATGTGCTGGTGATCAGTTTGGACAGATATGACATCTCAGTCCGTCCAGCCAGTCGCCTGCTGACCCCAAGGCGTGCAGCCCTGCTCCTTGCAGCAGTCTGGGCTGTGTCTCTTGCTGTTTTCTTCCTGCCTTTCCTTGAGGGGGACTTCTTCTCTTTGAGGGCTGAGGGCAGTGAGGACTTGGAAAGGCAGAAAAATGAATCTGAACTCATCACTGGACTGATGCCATTTTTTTCCTCCCTCTCCCCCTCATCTTTACCATCAACTGATCCTCCCTCCCCCTCACACCACCTGCCGCCAGTATGGCAGAACAGGACACTGCTGTGTGTAGGCGGGCAGGGGTATTACACAGGTCTGGCTATGTATTACCACTTGTTACTCCAAGTGCCATGCTTTTTAATCTCCGTAGTCGTCATGTTATTCACCTACTCCAGGATCCTTCAGGCCCTCAACATTCGCATTGGCTCTCACATGATGAGAGGTACACGTAACAAGGACTCCACCTGCAGGATACGCTGCAGGAGGCAGAGGAAGAAGGAATTGAGCCTACCAACAGAGGTAGTATCCTCCAACCAGAATCAGAACCTCAGTCATCCTCCTCTTATCCCCTCACCCACCCCTACACCGACATCACCCCCAGCAATCTCCTCCATGCCCCAGGGCATGTCTGACAGTGGAGCAACAGTAACTACTGTCAGTACTGCTGCCACCACCCCCATCGCCACCACACCAGCCACTCCTGCTTCTCCAACTCCAGCTTCAGCCTCAACCCAGACCCAAACCACCACCCCACTGCCAGCCTCCTCCATGGGTGTACAGGCCTCAGTTTCTGCAATCATCGCCTTGAGGAGGGCAGTGCGTAGGCACAGGGACCGTCGAGAACGTCAACGTCGTGTCCTCAAAATGTCCCTACTCATCATATCCACCTTTATGGGCTGCTGGGCTCCTCTGTCTGCAGTCAATATTCTGATTCTGTGTCTGGGTCCCAGCGATGGCCTGGTGCGGATACGCCTCTGTTTCTTGGCAATGGCTTATGGAACCACTATTTTCCATCCTCTGCTCTACGCCTTCACCAGGCAAAAGCTGCGCCGTGCCCTCAAAACACGAGTAAAGAAAAGGGTAGTGTCCCTACTTCAGGTGGACCCAGCTCCAAGTGGGGGCACAGTTATTCATAACTCTTGGGTGGAGGGGGGAGCTCAGAGGAAGACTCGCAAGCCACGGGTGGAAGCTAGTGATGGCACTGATCGATGCCTCACAGAGGCAGTGAGGGAATGAGGCTAGTCTTGGTTGGTGTGTGGTTGTGAGTCTGAATATGAAGAATTGAATGCATCCTACCAATTTGCTAGAGAAGGACTGTGTGTATATTAATGCAAGAAAAATTAGTTCCAGGTAGTTTACAAAGGTCTGAACAAATCCAATGACCTATGGTTCCATTCATATGCAGGGCCAGGTGAGTCCTGAGCTCTCATTAGAGCCCTCTTTCAGCTCTCCTTTCACATGCCCTCATTAGTCTACACCTGACTGACAAGGTGGCCACTGTGTCTCCATAGCAACTCTGGACAACACCTTAGCCATGGCTACTGAAAATACTAGTGAAAACCCCACATGCAGGATAAGGGTTATACTGTATAACAGCAAACCGACAAACTATTGCTCCTTTGTGAACTTTCAACTTGCATGTGCCTGTAGTATATGCACAGACAGACAGGCAGACATACACACTTAAACACATACATACACATACACACACTTACTGCACACTGATCTATATTTAGTCACTATCTGTGAAAGCACACCAATATCTACCTGCACAGATATTCTCAGTGAGAATATTATTGAAAGACTAGGTTTCTCTTTCTTTTCCCTATTTTTGTTCATGCCTTAATTGGGTTATTTATATGATCTCAAGGTGCTGAATGTCCTGCTGTATGTTTACAACAATGTATCAGAGTAACAGTGTTTATGCATACTGTATATGGTATGGCAAATTAGCAGGTAAATGCAAGCATTCAGATTCAAAGTTTACAGGCTGAACTTCCAGGATACTGCAAAAAAAAAAAAATCTGATTTCATTTAAGTACCATATTTTGGCAGAATTTGTGGAGGTTAAACTTTAAGGCATGATTTTTTTTTTTCTGAAATCAACTTTAATTAACAGTTATTATGAATAAGGCAAGGAAGTGTAGTTTTGTTTGGAAGTTTGCATGTATGAATGTAAGGGTAAATGAGTGTGTGCGTGTCCATGACTATGTGCAATAAATCCTGAGCAAAGCAATGACCCCTAGGATGTGAAAAAAAAAACAGAATGTAAACACAGAAATGTAGGTTTTCTACGAATGGTTCGCATAACATGGAAGAAGGGAAAAGAAAAGGGACTTACTATTATTGTTAACATCAAAAGCAAACTACCAGGAGCAATTGTAACAACACAGTTCACTGTAACACTACTGATATTGTATCACTTCAGTTTTTTAAAGTGGAAATCAAAAGGGCAACATTTTGTAAAAATGTCATCAAAATTGTGTCACTAAAGATAAACAAGCATCTTTAACCAGAGAAATCCATTAAATCTGCCTTGGGACTTTACTTTCTGTTGGCTATTTGAGCTCTTGAGGCAGTGTCACTGCTTTTGGCAGCATTAAGGACGACTGCAAAAGCAGACAGGTGTCCTGGACATATTACAATATATCTGTGTCTCTCTATCTCCTCAGGGCTTTGTGTCTCATATCCAAACTTGCTGGAAATGAAACAATAAACCAGCCCTCAATCTACTCTTGTATAATGGGTGTTACAGTAGGTAAAGATTTATGTCATTAAGTAGATACAGTACACTGAAAACTTTGTATGGAAGAGCTTGGGCTTTGGGCTATCTCCTCCATTCAAACCTCTTTTACACTACTTGTGACCCAGACAGATGACAATAATCGTTGTTCGTATATGTACATTTTTCAGGGATGTAAATATTTAAAGGTCTGGGTTTTAGTTAAAAATAAATCATCACAATCATCTGCCGGACAGAAAATTAGCCATTGTGATAAACTCTGAGCGAGTTGGAAAGTTGCTGTAAAGACAAGTAATTGTATTTGTGTTAATACTGTATGTGTGTACACTGTACTATACAATAATGACAAAATGTATAGAGAAAAATTAGTATTGTATAAGATTTATAATAAGTGTTATTGTATAGAGAAGAAGAGAATCTGTAATAAAAAGGTGATCTATCTAAGAACTTATCTCTCTCTGTTCACTGTTTGTGTATACATTATATTTATTTTCAGTGTATTAATTGTGATCAAATTTGGATTTTTACCTATCAGGAAGTTTAATGTATTTTATAAATGTCCATGTAGATACATTTTATCTGCTAGGGAATATCCCTATGTGCATCCTTTGTTTTCAGACTTAATGGCATGAACAGAAAAAAGAAGAAAAAAAAGCCATAGAAGAACAAATGCCTTATTGTTTTTCAGTGTAAAAGATTTATAATCAAGTTTATATTAATACTTTATTGTAATAAACATATTCACTTTTTTTAAATGAAAGTAAGAACTGAAAAGTTATGTCTCTAATCACAAGACTATTGAAAAATGTCTTGTGAAAAGGAATTTGTCAATTTGTCCCATGTAAGACTCCTTTATTAAATAAAGTGTTTTGTCACTGCAATTTCACCACAAATGCAGCAGTGTTTGTAGAGACTTTGAAGAACACTACTTCGATCTATTCTGCTAAGTGTAACTTCAGATTTCCACCTTCCCTCTCCTTTGACCCGTACTTCTGTCTTTTGTCCAACTGTCCATACCTTTCTACATCTCTTGTTTGCACTTCTTATTTCTCTGATCTCTAAATTCGGAAACTCAGTCCTGGATACTTGCAGTATTTGGTGATGACTGTGCAGAACCCGCACTACAAGCACCTGGTGATGTGACTACTGTGCTAATCACCACTATTAATGAAGGTGCAAATTGTTAGTCTGGTAAGCATCTGTCAAGACGCTTTCTTGATGTTCATTTTATCAAAACAAATCTGTCTACACACATGGTGTGTGTTTGTTGCCTTACTGATTTCTGGAGTAATTCAACACCATATATTCCCTAATCCTGCCTGATCATTTCATCAACATCCTCCTCTTTCACACCCTCATTTCCTCGCTTGGTTCTCCCTCTTTTTATTCCACAGGTCTGCATCTCTTCTCGCATCTCTCATCCACACTCAGGCCTTCCAGAACAAAGCAAGGAACAGCTGCAGTGTCTGTGAATGAAGGAATGTCACCTTGGGGGATGATGCTGGAACAAAAACATGAGAGAGAGGGGGAGAGAGATGCAGAATAGAGAAGAGATTAGGGCGGAAAAGAAGTAAAAGACAGGAGGCATAGATTCTTTGGCATTGGTCCATCATATGACCAATAAAGGGACAGCACCGCATCACTGCAGAGCACCACCCTTTGCTAATAAAGAAAAACAAACACCAAGTGCTCAATGATAAGATATGCTTTTCTGTTTTGTAATGTTGGCCCAGTAGACTAACGATCATACGGTGCAAAGCTCTCCTGTTTTGCCCTTACTCAAAAAAGTCAGAATTGCCTTCAAATAAATATAAAGACCTGTATGTGTTTAATGGCAAAGTATTCAACCAACAGTGACTTTGCCAAATCATTTTGCCAGAGTCTGAGTACAGAAATAAATAGGCTAGTGGCAGTTTGACAGGACTGACTGTTCATGGTGCTTCCAGTTCTTGCATGTAGCTTATCCATTTGTCATATATCACAATGGTGTAGGCCTATAATTCTGAGACATTTAGTATAGACTGTACACATTTTGACATGCAGATAAAAGTGTTCATAAACCTGCAAAACATGTCCGTCAAAGCCATTGTATATGGGTGGGACCACTTTTTTTAAAAATCATTCATTTGGACCCCCTCACAGAAACAAACGTGGAGTAGGCCTTTCTGTCTCTCCACCCTGCGGAGAGCAATCTCAGTCAAATCAACTTTCTCAATGATGATCGAAACTCCGGACCACGTTTTCACTGCTGCCGTGCAGTCCATTCCGCTTTTCAAACTCCGTATCAGGTTTTCATTCTTGCTATTTCGATTCCAAATACTCTCAGGCGTACAATTTGTATCGATAAGAGACACACACAGCACCAAACATAGAGTCTGTCACCACGATAGACTGTAAATATTAGCTCACCACAAGCTTCACATTCATCTAAATGTTGGTAAATAGTTCACCTGTAGCTTATAGTCTTACTTACAAAGTATCTGCCTGACAGCAGCATCCCTGGTTTGTTATGTGCTAATTGCTAGCTAACATGAGCTGAGCAGTGGAGAGATGAGAGGGAGGTTAGAAGACTGTTTGATCAACAGAAATATGGACATTACGAGATTTTTAAAGTAAGTTATAATAACTATGAATCAGTCCATTTCAGCTAACTTACAGCAGACTGGACTACAACATATTCGTATGAGAAAATATTGTTATCACTGATACTATTAACGGAAAATTATTTAATACTGCACTTCCATGATTATTAAATAATAATAATAATACGAAATAATTAAATCTTCTCCATCATCATCTTCAGAATCAGAAGGTGTCTTGTGCTATCGCCAGATAGAACCAACAAAATATGTCAAATATAGCCTACATTTTAAAGTAGGAAATTACATCTACTCTGTTAAACACAAATATGGGGATGTGCCTCCCAGACTCTCCCTTAAAGGCCATTTTTTTAATGTTTTGGTTTTACACAGACCTTTTGATTGCTGTCTTCATGAAGTTGTTGATTTCTGAGTACGGAAGACTTCAGATGATCATCAACGGCGCCATCTTGTGTTCGAATATTAAATGTTAGCTAATGATATCCACTTCCTCATTGGTTTTGCTGTTAAACCTAATATTTACAGTCTATGTGTTAAACCCCCGCATTACTGGATAGTAGATATTTTCGGAGGGTCCTTTCGAAATTAGGTACGGACCTTATTTTTAGGTATCCATTGTTGGAGAAGCGGCTGGTATGCAAGTTACAAGATAAATATTGCGACTGAAACAACATTACGGCTAGCAAACTATATTTCCGTCTGGATCATGCTAAATACAAAATCAACGATAGACATTGAAAAGATTAGCCAGCCTGTGTTTATCTAACCGTTCTACTCCTCTGACGGTACACGCGCCGAAATAGCTCAGTTGGGAGAGCGTTAGACTGAAGATCTAAAGGTCCCTGGTTCGATCCCGGGTTTCGGCAGCGAAAGGATGTTTTTTGTAGTTTTGTGGCTAAATTTGAACATGGATAAACTTAATACATTACATACATCCTCGTCTGCCTGCCACAACGAAGCATTTAAAAAAAACATTTAATCTAGAAATATACATTCAATGTAATGATGTGAGGCAACAAGAGCACGCATTTCATAACATTCAGAGGCTACCAAGCTTATAGTATGGCAGCATTAGATGCCCATTGACCTGCACCAAGCTTTTTCCCTTCAAACTGTAGATGGAAATAAAAGAGAGGACTCCCTTTTAGCTTGCAGTAAAGTAATACACCGGCTGCCCCTTTAAAAGACACTTGTTTAAAAATGAATTTGTTGAAATCTAAACAGTAAAGTGAGGTGCATTTGAGTTTTGTTGGTTGTAATTATTTTTCATTGTTTATTACCTCTAGGACAAATATTTTATACTCATTTTTCACAGAGGTTATTCCAAGTAATGTGAGGTGATTCTATTTTTAAATTGCATGCGGGCGAGATTGTGTGTGTTTTTTTTCTGTTTAGTAATAAAGACAATAGACCTATCATTAAAAAAAAACTACTAGAATGAACATGTAAGCATTTTTATTTGTTTGGTTAAAAGCAATTAATATAGCCTAATTGTTTTTTGTCAACATGCCAGGAAAAAATATTAATTATTAATTTACCAATTTAGCAGACACCAAAAACAACCCAACATATGGATATTTATGGAATGTACATTATGTCTGACCCATTTTGATAACTAAATTGACCATTTTACTTGTGATGGCTCAAATGATGAATAAAAGTTTAACAAATTGTGAAGAGTTTGACAGTTTCACTGAGTATCCGCTTAACAGTTTTGATCAGAGCGATAAACAAGGGATTTTTGTGAAGATTTTTAGCAATAGCTATTTTATTTATGAAGCACATTTCATTACAGGTAGGCTGTATATGCTCAATGTGCTTTACATTGAGGTTAAAACACAGAGTACAACACAGTCATGAATAAATTACAGAAATCAAATCAATAAAATCATACACCCCGTAATGCAAACATCAATAACCACACAAATGATAGAACACACACATGCACACACACACACACACACACACACACACACACACACACACCACTTGTAGAGAATTGTACTTACTCTTTTGAACATGTACCAAATTAATGCAATGATGCATTTGCTTGAATAAATGAGAACCTCTGAACGACAAACTTATTGTTCAGAGATTGTAGATGAATGTTTTTAAAAAATGCTTTTCTCATTTGAAAATTAAAGCTAAAGTGAATGAGCAAAACTGTAAATTCTACCTTGTAACTTGCCTGGACCTACCACAGTTGTTACATACAGTAAAAGCCACAGTAAAAACCAGTTCATACAAAAGTTCACCAGGGGGCGATATTGTCAAATACATAATTTAACTTGGAGAGTCAAGAAAACAAGTCTGCAGTTCATCTCAAGTGTGTCCAACTTTTAAACATGATGTGATTGAATCGACAAAGACCAAACGTGCATATTCTATCAGAGAACAAAAACGTATTAATTAAAAAATCTTTAAAAAAGTTTAAAT